CATAATACTCTCTAGCTCCATCCACCTTGTTGCAAAGAGCAAGATTTCATTTTTATGGCTGAGTAATATTCCTCTGTGTGTGTGTGTGTGTGTGTGTGTGTGTGTGTACACACCACATCTTCTTTATCCATTCATCAATCAATGGACACTTGAGCTGTTTCCATACTTTGGCTATTGTAGATAATGCTACTATAAACACTGGGGTGCATGTATCCCTTTGAATTAGTGTTTTCATATTTTGGGGGTAAATACCCAATAGTGTGATTACTGGCTCATAGGGTAGTTCTATTTTTAACTTTTTGAGGAAACTCCGTACTGTTTTCCACAGTGGCTGTACCAGTTCTTAAGGATTTATGCTTTAAAAAATCTTTTTACTCTCATGTGAGGTTTTGAGAGGAAACAGTGATATACCTGTTCTGTCTGGCATATTTAATTAGAACTAAGCTTTTTCCCCGAGGCTATACATTGAGGTAGCTATGGAAGTAAAAGCAGTAAGTAAAACTAGAAGGACATTTGCTTATTGTTCCTCATCTCTATAGATGGGACTTAATAACTGTGGCTGATTTTTCATGTATCTGTGACAAGTTCTTTCTCCTTTCAGGGAAAGGTAAACTCCTAATCTGAGTTAATTGGCAGTTGCAAGGATGAAGTCGTTGGTCTGCAGCAAGAGAATGGTTGGGGTAGGCGAAGCTTGCCCTCTCTTGCTTCGCCCATTTCTTATATTGAAGGGAGAGGGTTCAGGATTAAGGAGGGATCATCCCTCTTTGCCCTGCTCTGCATTCACATCTAGCTTGCCAGATGTGGCCACACTTAGCAGGTCAGTGGCTGTGGATCAATAGGAACGTGTAGCGGCTTCAGACCTGCCAGTGGAGGGGGGAAAGGCTCAGCAGGCTGGAGAGCCATTTTTACCCCTCTCTCAAGCTTCTCTGGGAGATGTCTCTTATTTAGGTGGTTGAGAGGAGCTGCCCCTGCTCTCCCTTTATCTCACCTGCAGGTGATAGAGACTTGGGATACAATTGTGAGTGCCCCACCATGCCTCTTGGCTTTCGTGAACTTTGTCAAGAATTAATTCTGCAGTCATAGCCTTTCCTCCCAGCTGTATCAGTGCTTCTTTAGCAAGCTGTCTTTTTCTTCCCTCCTTGTCAGAAACGTGTGCTGTCAACAATGGAGGCTGCGATCGCACCTGTAAGGATACTTCGACAGGTGTTCATTGCAGTTGTCCCGTTGGATTCACTCTCCAGTTGGATGGGAAGACCTGTAAAGGTAGCCTATGCCTCTCCAAGCTGCTAATGTGTGGGGGTAAAGGCAGCTCGTCCCCCACCCCCCGCCAAACCTCCTGGAGAGACTCCAGAAAGAGTATGATTCATCTCACTGGAAAAGCTTTTCTTCCCTGGGCTAGTGGAAGATTATAATTGAGTAAGCTTAATTAGAACCAACTTAATTACACCAACTGTTGAGAAGGTCAGCTTCTGCAAGCATCAGATAACCCAGGCAGCAGCCTTATTAGAAAAAGGCAGAAGTTCAAGAAAACATTCATTTGCCCCTGATAGTATCAGCCTATCATAAGTAACAGCCTAGAGATTATTATATAAATAACAGCCGAGATTTTTATCCAGAGAACTTAATGAATAGCCGTACAATTAACTTTTACTGATCAATAGAGACCTCAATGACCTGCTAGTATTTCTTGGGCAAGAGTACAAAGCCTTTGTCTTTAACATGATACAAAGCAGATAACCAGTTACCAGATGAAACTGAGAGAAGATAAGATTAATTTGAGTATCAGGAATCATTTAAAAGCATTGAGGCTACTTGATCATCGTGTAATTTGCCAAAACAAATGTTCTAATTCCTTATAATTTAAATAATTAAATTGGAATGGAAACTATACCGAAGGGAGCCATCTTATCTCGAGAGAGCAGTGCAAGGATGAGAATGTAACAGGACATCACCATTCTTTCCCATAATTTGTTTGCTCAATGCTAGCCGAGGGTAGCACAAGTCAGAATTCTCAAGGGCCGAGGCACTTGTCTTTCCCAGTTGGTTCAGCCAAACAAGAAAACATGTGTAAGATTAAAAACATCAGCAAACATCTTTACGTGCTTTCACAGGGTCTGTTTTGGTTGCAGAGAGTATTGAAGCGTGCACACAATAGCATGTCAGGGATTTGCAGAAAAGCAGGCCAGTTTTGCTCTCTGATTTGCCGATGCTTGCCTGTTACAGACATTGATGAGTGCCAGACCCGCAATGGAGGTTGCGATCATTTCTGCAAAAACACCGTGGGCAGTTTTGACTGCAGCTGCAAAAAGGGATTTAAATTATTAACAGATGAGAAGTCTTGCCAAGGTATGTGCCGAAACGTAGCTGTGTTGTGCAGTGCTCGCTGGTTGGAGCCGAGAAGACAAAACCCCACGCTGGCAGAGACTGGCTCATTGGGCTTCTCGATGGAGTCATTAATCCAACTGCCAACCCATGCCTCACTTATTTCGTCTGTCGGTAGAATAAAAACACTGATGTAGCTCACAAGTATATTTTGGACATTAAGCTTTAACAATTAGAGAACACCTCAAAGAATCCATCTGGTGTGATCATACAGAGCTCACTGCGAGAAATGGCATGGATCACAGAGTGTAAACAGGTTTGCATTAGGGTGTTGAGATTATGAATAATTTCTTTTTTCTAAATTTTCTAAAATTCCTTTAATTTTGTGGATTTTTATAACAAAACTTGGCAAAAATATGTAGATTTAGTTAACATACCTTACCTTTTCCTAGCGAAGAGTTGGGGTCAACCCATAACCAAGGTCATGTACCAGTTGGTCTCTTCCTTACAGCCCTTGTTTTAATGACCAACCAGCCTCTGGGGCTTGGGGAGAGGGACGGTGGGGAGGGAGGGAGGGGATTGAGTGGAGGCAAGGCAGGATTGCAGACCCCCCTCTTAGATGCATTCCTCCCACACAAGGGGTGTCAGGGGAGCATCTTTGGGGAGCAGTTGTTGTTATTAATAACTCTGGGGTGGTGGTAAGCTGTGTTGGATGAGGAGCATCATTTATATTTTCTTTTTTTTTTTTTAGA